CTCAGGGGTATAAACACACAGGAACCCTGCGCAGCTCCAGCAGCCCCAGAGGAGCGAGGACGCGGTCCCCGTCCCGCGGACGGATCGGAGACAAGGAGGACCGGAGCCGGCAGAGCCAGAGACGGGGGTGAGCTGCAAACTGGCTGCTCCTCCTGCTGAGGACGAGCAGGAAGCTAAATCTGACTCCGACTTGGACGGACGATGACTTGAGTGAATATTGATAAACAACGTACCAGTTCCACTGTCAGATTATTTCACTTATAACAAAACATTTTTCTCTGTTATAAGTTAAATAATCTGGCAGATTATCAACATTAAGGATTTATTTACTTAAAAAAAAATGTTCCTATATGTTCCTGAAAAGTTACTTATAAGTTAGTTTTGTCTTAATTAAAGTGCACTGAGATATTTGCAGTAGAAACTATAAAAAATACTTGATCAGATTTTGTGCAGTTAAAAAATGAGTTGGACAAATTTAGTAACAATTTAGATATTAGTGAATAAAATAAACTCTAAAAAGCTCAAGTAAAGTTTATTACAGATTCTTAGTTGTTTAAACCAAACCAGTTTAAGTGATAAATTTAAACGCCTGTATGTTTGTTAAATCTCCCCTTAATCCCCTCCTGACTTTGACTAGGCCTCCCCCGACCTCCACCTCCACCACCACCACCACCATCCAAACCGCAGGCCAGCGCAGACGCCTCTACAGCGCCGTCCCAGGACGGGTCTTTGTAGCAACGCGGTCCCACTCCGCTCAGGGCGAGCGCGAGATCAGCTTCAGTAAAGGAGACAGGGTCAAAGGTGAAGCTCTTCCACATTGTGACATCACTTCCTGATCACAAACCTCCTTTTGGGAGTTTGTGGTTTTGCATCTCGTCTGTTATGATCACAAACTCACTGAAGAGGGCAGGGATGTGGGATGAAAAGGTAGGAATGAAGCGGCTACGATGCCTGGAAAACGTATTCACTTCCTCTGAATTTTTTCCTGTTTTCCTTCGTCACAATCGCTGACATCAAGTTTTACTTAGTAATTTTAATAAGTGACACTAGCACCATATTTTTTTTTACAAATACAAATCTGAAAAATTGTGCCTGAAACAAAAAAGTTTGCAGACATTTGTTTAGCTTCTAGTTAAATATTTAGTTAGCAAACATTTCTTTAATTTGAAAATAAATATTTAGCTCTTTGTCAAATCTCAATGAGCTGAAACTGTTTCATAAAGGAAAATGTCTCTAAATATAAGAAGCTGGTATCCCTAATGTCTGCAGCTTTACCTTTAGAGTAGCCAGAAGTGAAAAGGGTGGGAATACTTTTGCTTCGACGGAGGGAAGGGAGAGCGATGAAGGAGTTTTAATTCAACTAAGCTAATTTAGGGGAAACATGTCCTGTTTTCTGGGTGAACATGAGTTCGTTGAACAGTCTTAACGAGAGTGTAAGGTCTCCATATATGTTTATATCTAATGTCTGCAGGTATGAATATTTGTGTGTTTGTCAGTGAGTCTAAAGTGTCGCCAGGTATGTATGTCTTGGTGAGTATGTAGGGAGTTTGCATGTCCGTCTGTGTGTGTTTTTTAATTTCCTGTCTGCATAACCCTTGATGTCTTTTCATTTCTGTTCTCCTCGTTTTCTGTGTGAGTCTGTTTGTGTCTGTTGGGTTTTCTGTATTTGACCTGCTGACCTTTTTTCCTCCTAGTGTTGAGCGTCGGCGAGGGCGGCTACTGGGAGGGGACGGTCAGAGGTCGCACGGGCTGGTTCCCCTCCGACTGCGTGGAGGAAGTGGTGCTTCGAAGTCAGGACAACCGATCAGGTGAACAAACACAAAGAGCCCAACATGAGTAAACATATCGAATATTGTTTAGTCCAACACTAAGAGAAATGTTTGATTAGATTAATTTCAGTTACAGCTGTCTTTTAAGTTGTTTAAATTGTTTTATATAAACAAAAAAAATTATGCTAGCTATGGCTAATTTAGCTTAACAAAGCTGAATTATCTTTGTTGAGCTAAATTAGCCTTACCTGGCTAAATAACAAAATAATTACATTCAAGCTAAATATTTAATTAAAAAACTAACTTTTTAGCTTCAAGGTAATTAGATTCAAGCTAAATATTTAGCTTGAAGCTAATTAATAAATTAGCTATGGCTAAAAAGTATCCCATTCTGAAATCTGATGGTAAAAATTCCCTGCAGAGGCTTTAGTGTTTTAGACTTTTAATTTTTTAGCTTGATGCTAAATATTTAGCCTTAAACCTAAATATTTAAAGCTAATATTTATTTCAAGTTAAACATTTATTCTAAGCTTAAGATTTAGTTAGCAAACAAACTTTTTAGCTTCAAGATAATGGATTTGAGCTAAATATTTTGCTCGAAGCCAAGGCTAATTTCTTAGCATTGGACTCAAACTAAATATATAACTTGAAGCAAGTTAGTAAATTAGCAAAATTTAAAGAAATACCCCCTGCTAAAAGCTGGTGTTTAGATTTATTTTTCTTCTTCACACTTTGAATCAAGTCATTTTATGTTTCAGAGAGTCGTGGAGAACGAGCCAAAAGGTTGTTCCGCCATTACACTGTGGGATCATACGACAGCTTTGATGCTCCCAGGTAGGAACAAAAACCTGCTTTTCTCCTTTATGTTTGAAAAAAAGAATTGAAAACTGCCGTTATACGGAAACTGCTTTTCCAGAAAATTAAGTTTCAGTTACTGCTGAAGGTCAAAGATGAGCGTCTCGAGTATTTCCAGTACTTTGTTAAAAAAATATATAATTTGATTGCTTGTTTTTTTATTGATTTGCATCGATGTATTTTGTCTTCTAATAAAGAGGAAAAGAAATCTAATTTTGCTCAAGACCAATGTTTATAAAAACCTGTTTAGATAATTGGAATAGTTTGTTTTTTTGTAGGTTTTATGTTTACAATCACATGTGATATCACAACGGTATAAAAAACTCTGTATATAAAATGAGTTTCTAATCCAGAATCTGTTGCCCATTTCTGAAACTAATATCAGGATGATCAGGTTAACATCATTTATGTCAGTGGTGTCCAAACTATTTGCCATGAGGTCCAAAGTCACAACTTGAAAACTAATTTTTGCTAAACAAAACATGTTCATGACATTTTCTGCACAAAGTTATTCTTAGATAATGAGATTTTAGTTTGATCAGTTCAGAATGAGCTGTTTTAGGGCGTCTTGTCACTTTACATCAGCATAAGCTGCTGCTGGCCATACCTCCTCCTCCCACTCAACGTTTACAGTCACATGTGAAAATTAACACAAACAGATGCGCAATTATACAACCGTACATCTCTGACAAGCAAAAGTGGAGCCTCCTGCACAGTGAACAAAAATGCACCAAGTGGTTTCTTGATGGTAAGTCAAAACACTTGTCTTTTCCAGCAGCCATTGTACATCGCATACAGCAGTAAAACCAGCTGACTAAAAATGCTGGAGCTCAGCTTGAGTTGCTCGGCGATGGGCCATCATCTGTGACTTAACAATGAGGAGGTTTTTGAAACAACACTAAAAAAGAGCAGAGTGTTTTTTGAGTGTTTTTGCTGTTTTTAGAAGTAGTTGAGAGCCAAATGGAAATATAAAAACATGGAAAATGTGAATTTTTCACATTAGGTCTCCCTTTAATCTGACTTGGTGAAACCTACAGAAACCCTGATGATGGTTGGGACTCGTGCAAAATCCTTCTGAGGGCCACAAATGGCCCCCGGACCACACTTTGGACACCCCTGATTTATGAGTTCCACTGTATTTTTGCCGGTTCTCATAATTATGTCCTGCTGTTGTGACGTGATTGAATTTATGTTGTGTTGTCAACATGCGGTTAATCACTGAGCAGAAATCCTGTAATTACTGATCAAACTGTATGTATTATTCATGTTTTCCATCCTTCAGCTGTTATTTTCCTCCCATCACTCACTTTAAAACTCATAAATTATTAACATGCTTCATCAACAACCTGTACGCCTCGTTCATACATTCATCGATGGAGTTCTTTTGGACTTTAAGGCTGACTCAGATCCGCCTACTTTTATCGTTTCGCCTATCCCTCCTTTCATCCGTCCATCCGTTTATGTTTGGCTGAATCTCCGGACCGTTTCTGCTTCCCGCCTTCGCGCTCTAGTCATCGCTGCACTCCGAACCCCCCTTGCACTTTTTAATTTTCTTTCTATCACCCTCGCTCCCCCTGCGGTGTCTCCATCTGCAGGTCAGACAGCGGAGGGCGATCGAGAGGCACAGGAGAGAGAGGAGCTGGGATTGAAGCAGACTGTGGTTTTTGGGATTGGGATTATTTTTAGGAAAGTTTCTCTGTGAAGGCTGGAGATGCTGTCGGGAAAATATTGATGTGTGGAAAAAATCGTTTTGGTTTTGAACCTCAGTTTGTTCTGATGGAAGGATTTGATTAGACGTCTAGAAACTCCTTCTGTTCATCCATCCATCTGTTCATCTGTTCATCCTTCTGTTCATCCATCCATCTGTTCATCTGTTCATCCATCTGTTCATCCTTCTGTTCATCCATCCATCTTTTCATCCATCCATCCTTTAATCTGTTCATTCATCCATCCATCTGTTCATCTGTTCATCCATCCATCTGTTCATCCATCCATCTGTTCATCTGTTCATCCATCTGTTCATCCATCCATCTGTTCATCTGTTCATCCATCCTTCTGTTCATCCATCCATCTGATCATCTGTTCATCCATCCATCTGTTCATCTGTTCATCCATCCATCTGTTCATCTGTTCATCCATCCATCCGTTCGTCCATCCATCCATCCATCCATCCATCCATCCATCCATCCATCCATCCATCCATCCATCCATCCGTCCATTTCGTGAACTTTAGTATTTCATTCTAAAACCTTAACAGGAATTTCAGCTCAAACTGTAAAAATTGAATCATCTGTGGTTCCTGGACGGTTCTAGACTAAATTCAGGATTTCTTACTTCTATTATGGATGTTTAAAAACAGTCCTGGCAGTGAAAGATGAATCTTTCTGGCCTGTTGTGTGTAAATGGTTAAAGACTGGATCCTCTTACGACGGATCCGTTTAGAGAACACCATGTGTGAACACAAACATGTGATCCTGGACCTTCTGTCAGCATTCGCTCCACCCAGCCCAGCTTTCGCTCAATCACAGCGGCGCCGAGCGTGGACGAAAACAAAACGGCAGAGGCATGAGAGGAGAGCGGGCGAGAGCCGCGGTCGAAGGCATGAGGGAAGTGAGAGGATGACAGGAACGGAGGGAAAATGGAGGGAGGGAGGGCGAGTTGACGGAGGACGGGTTAAGCGTACGTTGGAAGGAAGCGACGGAGGGATGATGTGAGTGCCACTCGTCTCCCATCTGCATCCGAAGCCTCTGCAGTGCCTCATTCATGCTTTGTTTACACCAGGCAGCAGGAAGTTGTTCATGTTGTTTGAGTACAGCAAAGAGATTAGAGGTTACCAACCAAACACTGTTCTTTAAAACTTTAAATCTGTTTTTCTTTTGCTTTTTTCTATTAGCTTTAAAAAATTCTCCAAATTTCTGTGATTATGTGAAGGTCTCTCATCTGTAGTGTTCAGCTTATCCATTCAATAAAACCAAACTTCGTCCTCAGCTGTCTGGTGGAAGCCAGGACTGCAGCTTGTTTGGCTAATTCAATCAATCAATCAAATTTTATTTGTATAGCACATTTCAGCAGCAAGGCATTTCAAAGTGCTTTACATCATAACAAACAAAAACACAAAGTCATGCAACATAGAATCAATAATGAAAACATTACATTAAGTCAAGAATCATCATTTAATTAATAACTGATTACGTTTCAAATCCAACTCTGAATAGGCGGGTTTTTAGTCGAGATTTAAAGGAACTCAGTGTTTCAGCTGTTTTACAGTTTTCTGGAAGTTTTTCCAGATTTGTGGTGCATAGAAGCTGAATGCTGCTTCTCGTTTGGTTCTGGATCTGGAGATGCAGAGCAGAACCAGAACGTGAGGGAACTGGAAGGTTGATATGACAACATTCACAAAACTACGGAATCAAAACAATTAGAATATTTTAAAATGATTACAGTTCTGGAGATGACTGAGCAGTAGGGATGGATGATAAATCAGTAAAAATATGCATCGCCATAGAAACTTGATCAATATCAGTAAATAATGAGTCTGATAGATCCAATAGTCCAGAACCGCACAGCATTCTGGGGGATGTAGGCAGAGAAAAGGCGTTAGCTGCTCAACCTCTCACGGCTAGCTAAGTGGAATCAACTCACTGGCTCTCTTTTGGTTACCTAGCAACTCAGTCATTCTTTGGTTACCTAGCAACGACCTGTTGAGTAACTTAACTACTTAAAAATAAAAAACAACAGCATGGAGTGAAAACTGTGGATAAAACAGATCTAAAAACAAAAAACTAACCAATAATTATCCATCGACTGATATAAAAACGCTGATATTGTGATACGTTTTTCAGCCATGTTGTTTAGCAATAATAGATCCCTAAATAAGAGATATGGAGCAACAAACAGCTGATTTGGTGTTTAGTTATGCTTTATACAGTCCCAGTAAATGACCAGTAGGTGTCTCTGGTGACGTTAGGGTTGGGGAAACTTAAAGTTTTCTCACGATAACGAAAAACATGCCGATATTTGTTGTTTCTTTTTTATATAACCTTATAACTGTGACTGCATGACAGCAATTCTAAAAAAAAAAAACATTCCTATTTGTAATGCCAGTCACATAAAGAAGTGATTTGTCTTCCCAAGTTGCACATTTATTTTTATATTTATTGATACTTTCATTGAAAACAATGGATAAAGCAGTAAAGCTAACAGTCTAAAAGCGCCAGTGTTAAATGTTAATTAGAATTGAAAGTTTATCTTTGAGAATGACTTCTTATATGCCTTCAAAGAACATAAAAGAAAAATGATATAAAATGTAATATAATTTTATATTACTTTAATAACTTCTAAAATCCGTTATGGCGACAGACGTAACGGTGTACGGTAAAGTCCAGCCCTGACTCCACCTCTGGCCGTAGAAGCTGATGGATGGCGGATCTCCAGTGGATTGGAAATCGCGTCAAATTGTTAGTGAGCGTGAAAAAGAGGAGGCTGAGGCGTGCTCTGATTGAGTCGTGCTGGAAACCCCTCTGAACCGTCTCCGTATCTCTTCTACTTCTTTAAGCTACCGTCTTCCTCTCCTCCTCTTCCTCCTCCTCCTTCCTCTCTCTCTGTGCCGCAGTCGCAGCTAACCATCTCAATCCCTCAGTCTCTCCGATTCCTCCTCCTCCTCCTCTCCGTCTTAAGTATGAAGGGGCTGGGAGAGCTTGGCCCTCTCCCTTTCCCTTCCTCTGTCTCTCTCTTCTCCTCTTCCTCCTCTCCTCCTCCTCTCTCGCCGCTCGCGCTCGCCGCTGTCTCGCTGGAAGACGAGAAGGAGAAGGACCAGGAGAAGGAGGAGGAGGAGAGGGAGGGGAGGAAATGGCGATGGGGGCATGCGGCGAGGAGGATGTCTCCCTCTCCCTCTCCCTCTCTTCTTCCTGGCCGTCGCTGGGCCCTGTGAACAGGAGCGTCTGGTTCATTTACAGGTACCTGCCATGGCTTTTCATGCC